ATGGCCTCCAACTAGCAACGACCTCTAGCCTAATAGCAATGGCCTCCAGCCTACTAGCAATGGCCTCCAACCTAAGAGCGATGACTGAGATGCAAAGGCGCAAGGCCGAAAGGCGCCTGTCCAGGGGCTTCGATCAAAGTCACCTCAGGGAAAGGGTTGCAGAAACGAAAAAAGAGAAGAGGCTGTTTTTTTGCCCGCTCCTACTTAATTAAGCAAACGCCTACTCAATGAAGTGAGGAGGTAAGCTACTAGGCTGCTTCTAGTAACTGGATGCAGGATAGCTGCTACGTTTCTTCAAGGAAGAATACCCCCACCGGAGGAAGCTTCTTGAAGAAGCGCTCGCACTAATGATTTTGTTCCTAGATTTTGAGGGAAACGCAAACACTCAAGTCAGCTTGGGAAAGATGCCTGAGTACCAATCGTGGCCAAGGCCTCCAAGCTTGTCATGTTTGAGGAGAACAAACCGTGAATTGTCGTTTCCTTACTTGCCAACCTTCCAAGACTTGCAGATTATTGCTATGAGTTCTCCTCTCTTGTCAACTCGAGAAAAGAGCTGGGCATCTCTGTTTTGGTGCCGCCTGGAAGATCGTCATGAAAGCGAGTGGGACGGTGGTAGAAGTCCTTGATTCGACAGCACAGAAAATCCTGGGAGTAGAAAGAAGATTATTATTAAAGGAAAGAAACGACAGAAAAAAAAGAAAGACCCCCCCAAAGTTAAGGTCCCAAAAAGAATACAAAAATGCCTGCTTCTCTTAACTGTTCATTCCATTCGAACAACTAAGCTGCCGCACGCCAAAGCGACGCCTGTGCTCCAAGTCCTGAGCAAGGCGCTCCTGGAAAGAATCAGTGAATTTCAAGATTTCTCGAAAGAAAAACCAGAAAAAAAGAAAGGACGGAATGAAAGTAGCAAATCGGCAAATCCATTGGATTCTTTTTGGAAAAGAATTGCGCTTTCAGAAGCAGTTTGGCCTGTATCCTGCCGGTATCCTTGATACTATCTGTCGCTTGTTTCCCATGCTCCTTCCAGTAAAAGCTATCGAGACTGTAGCTGTCCTTGTGGGCTGTCCGATGTGTCAAACCTTCTTCAGGAGTGGTCAATGCGCCCTAAAGGTTCAATGAAACCAACGATGGCAGAATGAACTAAATAGGACCAACTAAGGAAATCTCTGGTGACACAATGTTTTTGGTTGGTTGGTTGTTTGATGAAAGTAAATTAATAAACAATATTTAACATCATGTTTTCACCCCGATGTGTCATAGAATGCCTTCCTCATCTTAATGTCCCGTGTAATTCGATACTTCTGCCCTGAAACCCAAACTATTTGCTGTGCCTTTGTTGCGCTCGAAGTGATGGTCCAAGATCCAAACTGACATCTAAAACCCTGGAGGCTTCTAAGAACAAACACTTCAGTGGATAGTACTTACAGTAAACCTTAGAAAAGCACATCCTGAAGTGTCAACACTTAGACTCAAAGCCCCATGACCACTTTGAACACATCATCACCATCTTTGTTTTAGTTTTCAATGGGAAGTATGTGACATGTCTTTCTGAAATATCGATGCAAACCAATCCATAGCGCAATGTTCTTCTAGTTTCAGAGCCCCACGTCTCTCAACAAGCTGCTGACATACATTAAGTCAATTCAATTTTTGAAAACGAATCAGCGCATAAATTGTGGTTCTTGTAGGTTCCTCTTTGACTTCTTTTATTGTGCCCAGCGAAACCATATCCAAAGTTATGCCTACAGTACATCGACTTTCCTAGCCTTTTCAAGCAAGTCTTTCACTGAACCGAAGCCCTCCTCCACATCATAGCGTTTTTTTGTAATGCGTTTGCTTTAATGTAGTCATTAAACATTCTTAGATTGCACGTTTACGTTTACGATGTCTGTGTTATTTTTTATCATGAAATCATAGTGAAGTTACACCAAAAAGTGTTGACGCCAAAAGGTTCTGGCACTTGAGTGTGTTCTTGTGTTTTGCCAAGTTGGATTTACAACTTACATCGGAACCGCAAATATCACATACACAACGTTGTTTCGTCTTCCCTCGGTAATATGTGTTGAAATAGGTTGGGTCAATCGGCTGTCTGTTGTAGCATAAGCTGCTTATATAACTGACAAATTTTTTTCCATCACCTTTTTCAGACGAAGAAAACGGTTCGCAGTCTAAAAGTTTTTTGTTCCAAAATGGTTCCAAACAAGGTCAAAGCGTTCACCAGTCATTGGCGCTTCAACTCCAATGCTGAAAAAGGCAACAAGGCCTACTGCGTATATATTTGATCTTATGCCTTGATATTTCTTATGCCTTGCGTATGTACTTGAATCCTGAATCAGAATAACGCAATACCAAACACAGTTTGAACATCCAAGCATGTTTACCAACACGGCGTCTTGATTCCAGCAAACCAATTGCATCTGCACACCACGCGCGTGATTTTTTTCTCTGGCCATTGTGTGTCCACCTTCCCAAGCTTAAAACAGATCCATAATTGGATGTCAGCAAAATTCATTGGTGTCCTCTCACGTTAAAAGCAAAATAGAAAACTATACTTCTGTTTTTTTGACTACAAAAAACCATTCGTAGAAAGTTATACCTCTTTTTTGAAACATTGTTTGTTTGGAAACATCAAAATCCTGAACGTTGTGCGGCGGAATGGTCCAACCAGTTTCCTCAGTTTCATCTTTTTTGCCACTTAACTCAATGTTCTGCATCTTAAGATAGTGTTGCTTTCCAAAAAGCCACAGTCATTTATAAAAATAAACAAATAACCCGAAACCCCCTTTATGTATCTTTACTGATTGTTTGGTGTTGTTACCGATGCGGAGGCGGCCGGGGGCGGTGCGAAAGCCCGAAAAATCGAAAAGTCGAAGTGTGCTTTGGGTGCATGTGGGCCGCGAAAAAACGAAAACACAGAAAATCCAAAAATACCTTCCGGCGCCATGCGCGCCAGTGACGCGCGACAAGGCGAACATTCGAAAATGTGAAAAGTCGAAAAATCGTCTCCTGGTGCGATGTTCACACAAGACGCAGGAAAAACCGGAAAAAAACTCAAAATTCGAAAAGTGTATCCGGGACCGTGCGGCGCGCGTGGCGCGCGAAAATTGGACAACCTGAAAGCCCGAAAAATCGAAACAACGCTGTCTGGGCAGTGTTTCCGCAGGTGATGCACAAAATGCGAATGCTCCAAGGTTTATAGACTCCGTATCCGCATATGACGGGCGAGAACCGGAAGCAAAACACACTTGATTTTTGCACTTGTTTTTCGCCGTCTCTTGCTCTAGATCCTGGAAGGCATCTTCAAAGATTGCTTTGGGTCAGAGTCATAGACGTACATGCGAATAGCAATGCAGTAGACATAAAGAGCTTCAGCAGGCGTGAAGCAAAAGGAAACACACTCTTGCATGAAAGGATTGGTTTTCTCTGTCGGAACGATAACATTATTCAAGAAATTGTTGATGCGCTGTTTGTCTTTCAAATATGGAGAACCCCTCCACCGGGACATGTTTCGTGGAAACCAAATCGGCCACTGCGCCTCTCGTTCGGGAGGCCCAAAATGCCATGAGCGGAAGTGAGACACAAGGCGTGATTACGTGCATTCGTGCCCTTTTTGGGAAGGGTCACTGTCTCTCTGTATTCTTGTCAGCATCGGAGGCCAGAAGTCCAAAACGACTCACCACCACCACTGTGCCGGAGGCCCAAAGTGCCATGGGCGGAATGAGACGCAAGGCGTGAGTACGTGCATTTGCGCCTTATAATATGTCAACGGTCATTGCCTCTGTACTCTTCTAGAAATCGGAGACTAGAAGTCCGAAACGACTCACTGCCACCGAGAGGCCAAAAGCGCCGTTGGCGGAAGAAACACGAGGCCTGGTGACATCTGTGCGTGTGGCAACGGTCCGACAGGCACACCCGACTTATTGCACGCTCGGCCACTGCCTTCACAAATGCTGGGGACCACACAACTTCCTGACAAGGTGCAGCAAGGTTTGCACACGCATCCGTGGGCGCGCAAATCCGGAAACAAAAAACATGACTTCTTAAAAATCAACCAGCTCCTTCACTGTTGGCGTCGTCTGGGGCAATTGCTTGGCTTTTGCCTCCACGTGCGCGAAGCCGCGGTCAACGCACCTGACCCTGCCGTCGGGCGGGAGCGGCTGCAGGCTGCGACGGCGCTGGCGCGGGCTGCGCAGGCGGCCCTGCGGGCGCTTGTCTGCACACGATGTTGGAGTTTGTAGACGCCCCCCAGAACCGCCGTCAATGCTTCGCTTGCCTTTTTTGGGATAGAAGCTTTCCTCAAACAGCCGCTCACGCACGGCCTCGCCATCAAAAGTCTGTACACCCAGGCGGGCGCGGCCGTTGCTACGTGAGCCCATCTGCTTAACATACAGGTTTGCTGCTGGCAGCCGAGCCAAACAGGCACGCGCTGACACACACGATCAAATCTTCCTCTTGTAAGTATTGAATCTTGGAAGCGCAAATCACTATCTCGAGCTCCCCATTCATGATCTGAATCTGGCCTCTTGTTTGGGGCAGCTTCTTCAAAATGCCATGGACAGCAATGCGCCCTGGCCTCCACACGAATGTGGCAGAAGGTGCGTGGGCTGATTGCGGGACAGCCAAGAGAGCACAATGGACTTCAAGTTGTTTTCGCTGTCTGCACTTGCACCAATCAAGACCTGGGACAACCTCGACCCAACGACATTCCAATCACTATGTGTGCCGGGCACAGTAGTGACTTTGACCGCGTTGCTCTTCTGGCCAAAACCCAAAGACGGCCTGCGATTGAAAGAAAAGCGGCGTGAACTATGCGCCCATCCGGTGGACACCCACCACCCTGCGCCACGCGGCGGCATGCTTCAGCCACCTCAAGTGGAGCTACAGCTTGCAAGGGGGTCTTTCTTTGAGCTGCCACAGGGTTGAGGGGCATGTCTTTGTTCAAGGTGTCCGTGTAGAAGGGTTCGATCAGAGCAGCGAAGTGATCCTTCAAGGTCACGTCTTTCGGCATCTTGTGAAGATTGTATCCTGAGCCCACAGCATCCTCCTCGTAGACGCGCCTTGACCACCTGGCAGGGCGCAGGGTCATATAGAAGGTCGCTCATTTATTTTTATAGATTCTTTTAAGCAATGTCTTAATGTATGGAATAAGGGTCTGCTGAAGAAAGCCTCTCTTTCTTCCAGGCTGGCGCCTTGCAAACGGGCCATGAAAGTTTCCTTGGTGCGCAGGTCTTCGCACTGAGAAGAAGCGTTCAAAGCCCTGATAGCGATCTCTTGCAAGCGCTGTTGCGTACTCGGTCAGTTTGTGCCTGGCTGCGTTCCTTCATGTCGGACCAATCTCGAGCAGCGCGGGCTTCAATGGCATCTAGCACATCCTCTGTCACCCGCGCAGGAGAGTCCTGCGTAGGCCTAGGCTGGAGCAGGGGCCGAGGGGATGGAGAGGCCGCGTCCTCCTGTCTTCCAGCATCCGCTCTGAAAAAGCCAAATCAGCTAGGCAAGCAAGGGTTGAACGTGCTCAAAAAACTTGAGAGGAGGGAGACACGAAAGGTAGGACAGCGGGAAGAGAAGAGAACGCGAGAGGCAGGAACAAAAATGCAATGTTCGACATGGTGATTTATCCCCTCGGAGGCGACCTTTCGTAAATATATGTTCATATGCACTCTAAATGTTCAAACATATGCTCTCGAAATGTTCAAAAAGATTCTTAGGAAAACAAACTTGCCCCATGGCTCAGATCATCGGTGAGCATTGAATCGGAACATCATAGGATTTGAACTATCCTGAAACCATAAGAGGCTCACGAAGACGCTCCCCAGGAGAGAATTGACGCGCTTCACAAAACAAACTCTAGGATACTCTAGGTATGTACCCCCTCGGGGAACACCTTTCGCGATTAGAATTTCATATTCACTCTTTCTGAATGTTCAAGAGGGTTTCAACTATCCTGAAATCATGAGAGGCTCACGAAGACGTTCTCCAGGAGAGAATTGATTTTAGAGGGGGGGAGGGGGGGGGGGTCTGAATTGAGCGATCAATTATTAGACCCGGACGTCCCAACACTTGCTTCGCAAGACAAACTCAAGGTATCCCCTAAAGGGCTACCTTTCGTGACAAAGCAAAACACAAAAAGCGAGCCGTCTACCATGATTCTGTTTTTGGCGCGCACAAGCAGCAAGCAAGTGGCAATTGCCGTTGTCTAGTCTACAGAATCCCCGACCGAAAACCCATATATACAGGCGGCCGATAGACTGTTCTGTAAAGGGCATATCGCCTCTGTCCGCCGGGCAGCTTGCCGACGGCGTTTGGAACGGAGATCCTCCTGGGAGGATCTCCTGGTCTCGACGCCCGGGCTCGTGGCCGTCCGTCCATCGAACTCGGGACGGTCATCGTTTGGACAATGTCGAGAGTCCCGGTCAGCTGGTCCTCTCAAAGGCTTGCGCCTAGCAAGTGATGATCAAGCGCGTCTTGGCACTACCAAAGCCTGCAGTGGTATGTTGATAGCGATGGCCAGCAACAAGAAGCGTTTTTGTTGATCTTCTTCAGAATACAAAGCTTTCTGAGGAACCAACACCAACACACTCAAGCTGGTTAAGGTCAAATTATTGAGGCTATTGGCATCAAGTGTCTGTGGATACAGCAAAACTGTCACTACCAGAGCAAACACCCAAAAACTCCAAACGCTAAGGATATTTCTTATTCATTTCTGGCAGTCGTCAACCCTGGTCAAGTTTGAAGAGATCAAGTTCAATCTTCTAAGATTACGTCAGCCTGAGCATCTCCAAGTGGACCATCTTTGGATAGGTTTTGTGAGTGCCAGCAATTCAAGCTCTTGCTAAAGCAATAACAAATCCAACTAGCTAGCCAGCTGGCCTTGAAAGGTTTAACTGGCCTTGAACGTACCACCATGCACTTGTGCTCCAAGTTGCTGCAATGATGCGCCAGTCTGACTCGTCAAGCGCGGAATGACTGAGGCCAACTGCGACAGCGACCTGAGCTCGCACGAACCGTCGAGAGTCACACGGTACATCCCATGGTCAGTGCATTCCAATCTGGGCCAAATGAAGGGTCTTTAAAAACGGGAGAATGATCAAAAACCCTGTAGCAAACAGTGTTTGAGAAAAAACAGCTTGTCCCAGCTCACCGACCCCCACACTCGTGAACACCCAGGCACGCGTCGATCTTGCCAGCTTCCATCCGTTGGTCTCTGGGCGATCGCAGCCTCATCAGTCACTGTGCCTGTGAGCCAGCCTGCGCCCCGCAACTGAACATCCAGAAACCGAAGAGAACCCATCATCTCTGAAACCAAAAAAGCATTACTGGACATTGCAGACCTGCCAAGGTTCAGGACCTGTAGTTCTTTTCAATCAGTGGGTGTGTGATTGTTAGTATCATCGAAAGGGATCAAGTTCCGGTCGCCTGCCTTAACCGCAGATCTCCAACAAAAATGATGCGGACGTTGAATCGCCGCTCGAGGGAACGTAATCAGGCACACCGTCACGCATGCTCGAACGAAACCCGAGTCAACCGATACGAATCAACTAATACGGGAAAGCAGGTCCGCGCCCACCGCTGGCACTTCCTCAACGGGTCAGACTGCCTTGCCCAAAAAAAAGAGGTGAGAAACATTTGCGAAAATGACCGAAACATGACTTATATGCCTTATATCACTCCAATCTGTCAGACGGTCTCCAACCACTTCTGAGTTTCACGAAGTGACCAATGCTCCTAGTAGTCAACTTTTCAGTCGCGTGATTTTTCGATCGCCGATCCCTGGTGAAGAACGCGCTTTCCTTATTGAGAGCCAGACCCGAAGGTATTGGTAGTGACCGTCTTGGACCTGTTCCAAAGCATCCAAAATCATCCGACGAAGATCGATCCATTCGGGGGACGTTTATTGGACAAATCACTTACTTCGTCATACTTCCTATTCTTTCTAGTGAATCTAGTCAGGCTAGAAGTTTTTGATCGGGGTGCGTTGGCTCTTGCACAGCCTCCCCGTCAAAGGTGTGGACACCGTGGCGGCCACGCGGCAAAGGATAAAATGAGGAGGGCACCGTGCCACCATCTTTCAACGCCATCCTGCTCGGCGTTTTTGAAGAACTATGAAGGACATTCACCGAGAATTTCCTTGCATACTTGCGCTCTGTCCTCTAGTCTAGAAATGTTTGAATGCACCCAACCAGCAGCAATCTTACCTTAACGTATGGGCCAACGGGTGGCAAGCTATGGACAGCCCAGTGTGTGAATAATCTTCCGCATTTCATTCCGGAAACGTGGCCCGTGGAAAAGATTGTCTTGGGCCACAGCAATGCAGTTCGCAAATGGATTGCACGCGCTCGCCCGTTGCGCCCAAAACAATGACCATATTCAGTGGTGACACTCTCTGGGACAATCAATCATGGGCCGTGCCATGGATGGCCAGCAGCCCCGAGAACTCGAAAAAAACATGTTCCCAGCCAACAGATGGCTTTCACTCTATGTAACTATGATGTAACCTGAAATGCCTCTTCATATGGGGGATTTGTTAACCAAAGTCCTGTGTATTTCTGAACATATAACTATAACTGAAATGATCCTTCCAGCCTGTAGTGACCTCAATGTCCGTACACAAAAAAGGTGCTAGTCCCGACCATCACCCTGTACATCTATTGTCGTATTATACTCTATAGTAGGCTACGTGCGTCGAAGAAGACACATCTTCTCGCAGTCTGATGAGCTGCAGGCTGGATCGGGTCACATCTGCGTGTACAAGTCATGCCATGTTGAGATATCTTTCCTAGCCTCTTTCCCATGCTTCTGAAGCACAACACTTCTTTTGACCTGCCTCACATCGCGATACCCCGTGATTTCAGACCCAGAAACGCGCACAAACCATTCCGTCAACATCTCACAGGCCACCGCCTGTTCTCGCATACATTTTCATTTTCGTCTTGCATCGTGGCAACCTCAATGACTCGCGCTGCTACTCCTGACTTAAAAGTGTTACTCCTAACTCGCATAATTACGCGCGAAAACTTGAAAAAATAGAAAAAAAATCTAACATTTGAACGTTCATTTCCGTGCGTATTGCCCCACAAGCCACGCGAAAAACCGAAAATATAAAAATCGAAAATTGAAAGTTTTTTTTTTGCGTGCTTATTGCCCCACAAGCCACGCGAAAACCCGAAAAATTGAAAACTCAAAAAATTGAAAGTTTTTTTGCATGCTTATTGCCCCACAAGCCACGCGAAAACCCGAAAAATTGAAAACTCAAAAATTTGAAAGTTCTTTTGCGTGCTTATTGCCCCACGCGAAAACACGGGCCACGCGAAACCTCAAAAATTGAAAACCTGTTTCCGTGCTTATCCCCCCCGAAACCACGCGAAAAACTCGAAAAATCGAAAACCCGACAAGTCGAAAAGTTATGGGTTGTAAAGATAATGCACATTTTGAATTTTTGAATCATTGAAATGTTGGACGATTTTGTTCTGTTGGTTCGAGCAAATTCGAGCAAGTAGTTTTTGAATTGATTTTTTGGGTTGTCCGATTTGCATTTGTCTCTGTGGGGGTTGACGTTTTTTTACTTGTTGAATTCCGTTCTATTTTTTCGAGTTTGGAAATGTCGCGTAAAACGATTGCTTAGTATCTTTATGCTCTTCGTTTGTTTACGCATTTGATTGTTTGATGCTAGTTCTTCATGGTCGGCAACAAACAAGATCCATGTATCTTCAAACAGAGACTGAGCGACAGCAAAGTTGAATAAAATTGAGCAACTCTGCTTTCCAAAGCACGTAGGCATCACCAAAGCTGTCATAGCCGCCATAGTGTAAACCATCTGGAAGCAAACAGGCTCAAAACAGGCTCAACAAACAGATTCCAAATCAGCCATATTCCCCACAGAAGCAAATAACAGTCACTGCACAGCTGCGCCTAGTGAACCAAGCTTCGGACGGCCCTGGTGAGCGGACAAAGAGGTATGACAACATGACGCACGCAAGCAAAGGGCATCGCTACCAGGAGCAAGGACGCTATTAGGGTGGAGGCCATCGCAAGTAAGAACAAGAGGACACTACTAGTAACAAAGGGCATCGCTACTAGGAGCAAGAAGCTACTAGGAGCTCCTGGCCTTACTACTAGTAGCTATCACTCGCAGCGGACGATCACCGTGAAACGGTGTCCGCTTTGTGCTGGACACGCTGGTCTATGCACACAAGAAATCCCCACAAAAAAAACATGCAAACGCCTTACTACTAGTAACAAGAGGACGCTACTAGTAGCAAGAAGCACATAGACACCGATTGACTTCGCCTTGAGGCTCCGGGAAACTCGGCTGAAAGTGTCCTAGCAAAACAAATTGATCGTGTTTGTTTGCATTCTTTCTGGTGTGGTCTTCATTTGTGATTCGAACACCACTTTTGCGCCTCATACAGCGAACTCGAAAAGGCCAAGCTTTCCAAACCTGCATAGGTTAAACGCTGCTTTTGAAAACAATACGTTTTGAATCGTCTTGAGACAGAATGCAGGTTGTTTGCACTGCCAATGTTCATCCTTTGTACCACGTGACGTTAAGGTACCATTTCCGTATGGAAACCGCAGTAGAGAAACATAGACAGAGTGGAGCCAGGCAACGACCGAGTCAGCAAACCCCTCGGTCAAACAAGCATAAAACGTCATGTCAACCAACAAACGGAGTGTCTGAAAACTTCCAGTGTCAAGTCCGAAACTCTGAGTCAGACAACTGAAGACCGTGGGAAACAAGTTGGAAAACCATGTAGGGTGCGATCGATGTTCGGAAGATCAAGCAGGATGTGGATACGAAAGCCGGCAGAGAAGAGTCACACCACGAGTCGAGAACCACAGACCGCAACAGGAAACAAGACACACCAAGACTCCAAGGAAATAAAGGCCTCTGAGCTTTGACAACGGATCACCATACTGTCAAACTAGAAGAAGAGAATGACAACAGAAGTGAACAACAAATTCCTGCATTCAAAGCTCGGAAGCAGGAGAGATCTCGCAGAAAAAGTCTCCACCTCTCCTTTCTCTGTGAGATCCTCTCACCCCAAAAAGCTGACCAACCTTTTTCAACAGGAAATGGTCTGGAACTTTGGGTACGATGCAGTAACAGCCATGACATGTGTTCACGTTTGATTGATCGTGATCTTGCCACACCCCAACCTGCATCAGGAGCAAGCATGGGCCGTTCGCGCAAGACCTGTCGAAGTGCCATGCTTGCACAAAAAAAAAAGGAAGCAAGCTGCCTGCAGCAGCCTGCATGCTGTTGCGCTTTTGTGTTTAATGCTGTGTGTGTGTGTGCGTGTCACCCTTGGAGTCAGAGGGAGCCTTTCGGTTTTTGTGTGTCTTTGTGCAGGGGGGGCAGTGGGCACTTTGGAAAGCATTGCCCAACGAAAACCTTTCCATTGTTTCCTGTTATGACTTTGGGACGCCAAAGTCACTTACCTGCAGCGTTGTGAAGGGAGGGGCCCCCTCTCTCGCAGACCTCAAATAGACTTAAGAAGTGTTAGTGTTTCCCTTAGTATAGAAGAAAGGAATCCATCACCTCAGCAGGAATTGTTGTGCTGTGCTTGCTGTGCTGTGCTGTTTGCTTTCTCTCGAGGCAGGAGCCTTTTTTTCATTTCATGTTTTAGACGCTGGATTTCGAACATCTAGGTCCAGGAGGAAAAACAGTTAGCTTCATTTAGCGTGTGTTTATAAATCTGTTGTGGGATTTGCATTAGCTTTATTCAGGGTATGATTACTAATCATATGTCGACAATATGTCCTTGCAAGGAAAGCCACAGTGCTTCACAGCAACCTTCTCTCCTCTCATTCTTGTACTTCATATCTGACTAGCTCAGTGCTTAGGCGTGTAGATTCAAATTCCAAGCTACCAGTAACAAGGGCATCGCTAGTTACTAGTAGCTTCTAGCTACTAATTAGTAGTAATGCCTTTGTTACTAGCTCAGTGCTTAGGCGCTTTGCTGATTCAAATTCCAAGCTGCCTTTGCCAAGAGCTCCAAAGCCTGCCCAAGCTCAGCGCAGGCACGTTGCAGCGCAAGCACCTGAACTCAGGAAGACTGTGTTGCATACTACTAGCGATGGCCTCCAAACTACCAGCATGTTGGAATGTGTTGTATACTTTGCAGGTACAGTCTCCACTTGGATTTGCGGCATCGTCAAAATTCCTTTTCGTTTCTTTCGCAAAAACCAAGCCATTGGAATCTCGTCACTTGAGGCAACACGGTAAAGGTATCACTTGAGACGTGGACGCGCTGCACCAGCAGAACGAGTACCTTGGGAGAGCACAGGCTCACCACAGGATTCATGAGACCGAGGCGCAAACAGAAGTCGATCGCTGGCCAGGTGTTTTCTCAAGGAACAAATGGTCTGCGGAATTTGCTGGAAAGGTGCAAAAATCAAGCCAACAGCTCCAAGCTGTAGAGATCGGGATGGCTCCAAGCCAGCTTTGGGCATGGGAGACCTTGAAAAGCTTCCTATCCGAGGAGACATCATGAGACCGAAAAAGGAGCATTATAAAGTTAGAGGCCATCAAATTAGGTTGGAGACCATTGCTAGTAGGCTACATCATGAGACCTGAGACTGAAGAAAAAGAAGCTAAAAGAGCTCTTGATGAAATCCAAGGCTCTTCGAGAGCTGAGCCGACCCCAGAAGCTTTGAGCCCAAAGCGAAGAGCGAAGCGAAGCGAAGACTGCATCGAGACATCAATCACACGACTCTCACGGGACACTCTTGGAATGACATTCACAGCACTTACACTGATGCATACGATTGCATACGTGTTATGACAAGACGTCAATACCATTGGATGATGCGCCCTGTGTGATGATCTTGTAAAGAAAGGTGCCAGCTGCATGCGAGCAATCGCCTTGAGACTTTGCAAGGCCTCTCGCAGATCTTTGCGGCAGAATCTCATGCCCAAAAGACAACGCCTCATCTTTGAGTCGCTGAGTTGACCAAAGCGACCGAAGCGAACAGCCAGTCGAGTGGTTTTCGAGTGGTGCTCTCAGCACCCGGCTTTGACTGGACATCAGCGAAGTGAAAAACCTGGTCCTGAGCCTGCAGGATGTTGGCGTGGCATCACACAACAGCTTAGGAAGCCTTCATCCAATCACGTCATTCAATCAGCAGCTGTGGTGTAAAGCTGTTCATCTCCATAAAATGAATGGCAAAAAAAGGCACACAGAAGTGGGAAAGCCACTTGTACGTTCTATCCCCGCACTTTAGGAAGTGTTCGGGAAGCTCTCCTCCTGTGTGCTTGAGCTAAAGACCTGTCTACCTCCAAACGCAAGCTGCGCATGAATCTCCCGCAGCGTACACATGTCGGAGCAGATAGGCTGACATTGCCCTGCGAGGCCAAAAGTGTTTGCGCAGCAAACAGGCGTTTAGTATTGCAATTCTGAACTCTGACCTGAGAAAGCATAATCGATAACTCATTGTGTGTTTGAGGCCATACAGGCCAAAAAATGCAACCCACTAGAAATGGAAACACCGGGCTGGGTCCTCACAAGCAAAGCAAGCTGCAAGGACAAAGTGCCGTTTCCTGGCTCAAATCAAGCACAGCACATGCAATTGCGTCAGTTGAAAACTGGACACTCATGATCGAAAAAAACATTATATATATATATATGTGATATAAATATATATAAAGATATATATGTGATATATATATATATGTATATATTGTGAAGCTCACAAGCTTACCAATCAGATGTCTCGCATGACGACCTTTTGATCGAACCTACCGAAAGGGTGGGTGGGTGGACCGAACATCGTCGACAAAGAGCGAGGCCGCTTGGACAAGAGGACAGGGTTTCCCCAAGGTTAGGATCATTCAACTCCAGGGTGAGATTAACATTGGTAGCGGAGCCTCCGCAAGGAGGCGTAGGCATTTTGGAGGGGTTCTCCAGTGAGTAATTAACCTAGGATAGGTTGCATTGGATCCCAGAATTTTGTTGCACGACATTTTACCTTTCCTTCGACCACTGAGCCATGGCCGGAACGGAAGGAAGTTCGGGAGAAGAAAAGGCCGGACACATCTGGAGTCTTCTTCCGGGTTTTGACCCGTCAATTGATGACCCGAGGGAGTATGCCGACAAGATTCGTTTCTTGCACTCCATCTGCCCCGTCAAGGACCGTTCTATGTTAGCTCCCAGACTGGCACTTCTGATGAAGGGCACCGCATGGGCTCAGGTCAAAGCCCTAGATGGTGAAAAGCTCTCGGACCCAAATGGAGGCATCAAGCTCTTGCTGAGTGCGGTGGCCGATTGGGAGGACTCTGCTGAACTCCAGACCTATGAAAAATTCGAGAGGGCTCTGTATAAGGTGACCCAGAAGACAGATGAGTCAGTGTTTTCATACGTGAACCGTATGAATGTTGCCTTTGCTGAGATCAAGAATGTGACCATTCAAGAGATCAAAGCATTCATCATGCTGCGTCAAAGTGGTCTGAATGGAGAAGACAAGAAGCGGGTACTTGCCATGTGTGCCGGGGAGCTCAAGGCCAAGAAAGTGGAAGACTCCATGAGACAACTTGCTCCTCGCATCCTGGTGGGTGCATCCGGTTCAGAGCCTAAGAAGAAGGTCTATCCAGTCAATTTCGTTGATGATGAAGAAGAGATGACCATTCCGACCTACTTCACGGAGGATGACAACCAGATTGACGACGAGATGGGTCTTCAGGTGTTGATGGAACAAGGCGATGAGGATGCCTTGATGATCACGGAGTTTGAAGACCAGTTGATCGAAGCTTGTCAGGACAACGTCGATTTGAGCATGTGCTTCTCAGCATACACCGAAGCCAGAGGCCGAGTTCGAGACAAGATCCGTGCCCGTGGTTTCTGGCCGCCGTCGAAGGGGAAAGGAAAGAACAAAGGATCCAAGAAGGGTCCGTGGAATGCAAAAGGTGGTTTCCGCAGACGCCAGTCACTGGCGGACCGCATAGCAAATTCCCATTGTCGTCTTTGCGGAGCTCGTGGGCATTGGCGACAGGAATGCCCAAACAAGGGCACGACTTCGAATGCCGCAGCGCCTTCAGCGGAGATCCACATGTCCACTTTGGTTGGGGAGAATGTGTCAGAGGTCGACTCGGAGGTTTTGGAAAGACTCCCGATCTCACTAGAACAGATGCTCCCTGAGTGGTGGCCCGTCGTCCAGGAGAAGGCGACGATTCAGGACGAGGTGAATGAGACGATGTTGTTGACCGACCCTGGCATGAGCTCGACCGGGAATTTTGAAGACAGCCAGGCCGGTGCTGAAAACAAACCCACAAAATTTTGTCGGTATTCTGAAACAAGAATCCGTGTTAATGAAGAATTCGTTTTTGCTGCTCTGTCCCTCCAAGAGTTGAAACAACAGCTGAGACGAGGCTTAGGGGGCCTTACACTGGGGAAACGTGTCAGGCATGAAGACCCACATGAGCCGATGTTTTTTGTAGACCACGGTAGTGTAGCAATCCTGGACACAGGAGCCTCTAAGTCCGTGATCGGAAAAAAGAGACTAGAGCAGCTGCTAGTCAATTTGCCGAAGGAATATGCACGTCAGATCTCATGGCAGAAGTCTGATACCGTGTTTAGATTCGGAAACAATGGGACATTGAAGAGTCTAGGTGCGGTTTTTCTGCCTTTTGGTAAGCGTTGGCTAAAGCTTGAAGTGGTTGATGGCACTACTCCTTTTTTACTGTCAAATGCCTTTTGCAAAGCAGTGTCGGCGGATATTTGCACCTCGAAGCGTGAATTGTGCATGTTTCATGGACGTGTGAGTGTTCCATTGACGGTGAGTGAGAAAGGTTTGTTCTTGGTTGACTTGTTAGATGTCATGAAACATGCTGGCAGTGCGGAATTGCAGAATGAGACTTGGGAGGTCGTGACTCATATGCTAGAGGTTTCCAATGTAAACGGTCATGGAAACAACCTCACAACGACAAACACAGACACAAACCAGCCGAGCACAGAGATGACACGACAGACATGCCCAGCAGCCCTTCGAGTTTCAAGCAGTGCCGAGATTTCCCAAGCCAATCACCTACTCCATGGCGCCCAAGAAGGTGATCCCAACATATGCGGCGGTGTCGGGACTGGACAGTCCCCTGACCTTTCCAGAAGATGCAACGTTGACCAACATCTCATCGGTCAACGATGCCAAGATCGTCAAGCCGCCGGGTGTAACTACATTGAGGCAGTGGGGAGATCAGGTCTTGGGAGGCGGCAAGCATGCAGGCAAGACATTTGCCCAGGTCCTGGCCATCGATGCGAGCTACGTGGAGTTCATGAAACGAAAGGGAGATTGCACTTCAGCCTGGGCTCTCAGCTTTCACAACTATGTGTTGGCCACCGCTCGGATGGAGACGACCATGCCGGTGGAAAGCCAGCAGCCAGTGCTGACGCCTCAGATGATCAAGAAGACTCGAGAGGAGTGGGCACAGCAGGGAGCGACAGCCACAGACTGGGATGTGATCGACGACCTGAACAGTTACCACCGCTCGGAAGTTCCCGTGGGAATCCCATCCATGGCAAGTGGATCGGCACCGGGAAAACGAGGAGTGCCACTTCTCGAGGACCATCAGAAGATGCAGGTGGACCTTGCGAAGGAGAACCGAGATCGAGTGACCCAGATCCAGACGCAGATAGCCATTCTGCAACGCGAGTTGGCTTTCCTGATGCCAGCAGAGGAATCATGAATGATACAAGTGAGAAGTTGAGTTATGAGAACCAACCTTCAGTTGAACTTCATACCAGTATGGACACTCCAATCAACGACTTCTTTGCCAAGGAGTTAGCTAACCTGGTGGAAAAGATTGAGTTTCAGATGCAAGAGTTGGCAAACCACTCAGCTGACATCCGGACACGGCACTTAGCACCACGAACCCACAATTCGAAGGAGAGATTGGACATCCTGGAAATCTACTGTTATCCTAACTCCCACCTGACACAGATAGCAAGCCAGATGGGGTTGAAGACCCGTCGATTCACAATCCAGGATGGTGATCTCCGGACCCCTGAGGGTCAGAACAAGCTATGGCAGATCCTGGAAACACAGCAGCCCACACACATTTGGGCTTCACCTGACTGCAAGTTTTGGGGAAATTTCTCCAGACGCAACATGGGCAGAAGCAAACAACTGAGAACCTACATACTGGACGGGAGAAAACATGAAAGACCAAACTTGAGTTTGTGTGAAGAACTATTCCTGTACCAGGTAGAACATGGAAGACATTTTCATTTGGAACAGCCTGTCGGTTCAGAGATGGTAGTTCAACCCGAATTGGAACAGTTGAGATGGGGTACTCTGCCAACGGTTTTTGACATGTGTGAAGTGGGTAGGCTGAATTGGAAGGGTGAGTCGATGAGAAAGAGAACGATAGTTTTGACGACCTCCCGAAATTTGCACAGAGCGCTAGACTGTCGATACTGTCGCAAGATACATGAACATAAGCAGATTGCAGGACAGGTGAAACACCTTGGAAGGTGGATGCCACTTTCTGCCTTCGCTGCGAAGTACTCGTCAGACTTTGCGCGTGCAGTGGTTCGAGCTGTACAGATCGATCCTCAAGAACGTCCTTTAGTGTTTGATGAACTCTTAATTTCAGAAAAAGGACAAGAAGTAGATGAGGCATTGGTAGGGGAGGCATTGAAACGAAGACGACTCATCTCGAAGCA